GAATAAGAGGATGAATGCAAGTAGAAAGGTAGTAGATTTTAGGATTGGGGACTACAAGATTCACCTAAGAGAAGGAAAACTGGACCAAAGATGGGAACCATACTATAGAGTAATAGAGCAGACGGGTCCAGTGTCGTATGTGGTTTGGGATCAAATGGCAGTTCGAAAAAAGAGTTCATGCCAATGATCAGAAGTTAGCTGAGGTGGCTAAGTGAGCCAAAAGCCAAGAAGAAAAGGACAAGGAGAGCGACCTTTGTAGAGCCAGAAGGGCTGGAAACAGATGAAGATTCAGAAGAAGAGGAAGAAGATAGAGAAGTAGGTCAGCAACCGATAACAATAGACCATAGAGGTCTGGACAGGACAGTCTGCGTGTCAGAGCAAGGCCTATCGGTGGCGGCCAGCGGCATCTATTCGTCGTCTGTGTTGTTTTAGAGGGGACCTCGCAATGTCACCGCTCCGTCCCGAAGACCCAATAAATGGATGACGAAGAAAACTCGTGAAGAAGTCCAAGAATCGAAGTTGAAACTTCATGGACAAGAGGTTGAATCATATAAATGGGAAGAGGAAGATGAGATACCTCTCTCTCAACTCCGAAAAAAATGGAAAAATGAAAAAAAGCTAAAAATTCAGTTAACGGAGAATGAAGAAGTCCGGGGATCGGAATCGAAACTGCCCGAAGAGACGGAAAGAGAAATACTTCTCTTCCAAACTTCAAAACAGTTAAGGAATGAAGGGAAGTCAGGGGTGAAATCAGAATTACCCCTTAAGAAGAGACTGAGAGAGGCAGTGAAACCCATATCTCAATAAGAAGGGATGGCTATGAACAGGGGCTCATTTGAGACTTTATCAGATGAATAAAAGTGGCGGTGGTTGGAGAGGATGGATGAGCGGATAGCATGTCAAAGTGGAAATAAAATCACTTGTCGGTGCGGCCGACCGGTCAGCGGTGGTATCGATAAGGCCGATGTCCACAGGGACAAAAACGCCGCGTACTTGTCTGAACCAACCATCCTAATTAATTAAAGGAAGAACGGGTTTGAATTAAAAGCTAGAAGAGACAGTGAGAGAGAAACGCAGTGAGAACGCTTCAGAATAATTAAGTAAAGAATTAATTTGAATAATGAGTGGTTAGGGGAATAAAAACAAGAAAATCTTGTTACTCTTCCAGGAATGGTCACAATGAAAGGACCAATACTTCTGATGATGGAGATACAAGCTTGGAGACCCAGCGGAAGTACAATATTTAAGAAGACAATCGTCTATTCCGTTGTTGGATAGAGAAAGTATTTTTTAAATATATCAAGTTATAATCTTACCTATCCCCTATCCTCACATGGATCAAGGTTTGGGAGTGGTGGCGAGATACAGAATTGAAACCGAATATATAGCCTTGAATTCAGCTATGACGAAGTTTATGATACTGTCGGCGGACAAGACGGGAAGGTGTAAGAACGATGCCTTGGGAATCTGTACCTCACTAAGTCCCATTTATGTGACAGGTAATCACAGAATATATGTACTGGAGTTGTTTGAAGATAAAGGAATTAAGAGGAATTGTCAAGTGGAAGTGTTAACCAAAACAATGCTGCCACAGGCTATCAGTGTATCCGATGGTGTGTGTGCTGTGGCAGTACAAAAATCAATTAGACAGTCTAAGGTATGTGGAAAGGAATCCACTGGGACAATAAAAGTGAGACCGTTTCTATCCTTAATAAATTTGCCCCTGGGATGCTCAGCATTCGGAGTATCCATCTCCCTGACCCCATATTACCAGAGGGAAGAGAAATATGAAGAAAAGGATTCAGTTGTAGAATTGATTAACAGAGGTTTGGACAATTACACGGAAGTGTGGAATGTGACGGTTACACACCTGGCCCAGGGTCGGATCCTTTGGTTACGGCGCCAACGGTGACGTCGCTCCTCCTGGTCGCTCCTCCTGGGTCCAAGCGTGCCGCTCCAACCCCTTGGTCAGATGATCACCAGCCTCGCCTTTCCCGACTCGCTTCCAATACCTGGTCACTAAAGCAACTGTACCGATCTCCGGTCTGTCTACCCACGCTGTGTTTAGATCTTAGACAGACAGGACCAGCAGGGATTGGGGCCGATACAAGTTGAGTCCGACAGGGGTGGCAAAACACAAATAAAAAAAAAAATAAACTCACGAGACAAAAAGATTGCTGATGAAAAAAAAAATGGGTAACAACCCTTTATATCTTAATGTCCGTTACATAAAAACAAAATTGTTCTCATTTCCCGACCCGCTCTGTGGACTATGGCACCAAGCTTCTATCACACAACCTAAAAGATTTCGAATTGCCTACTCTTTAGAATTGTGTATGTCGGGTGTGGTTTGGTTCGACACTGGGGCTAATTTCTATCGATCATTCGCAGTTGATTCTTCTCTCCGACTTGAGTTGTATTTCTTCTTCTTCGTCGGCTTAGGCTGGAAGTTCTCTTGTCTTCGACTTGGGTTGTATTTCTTCTTCTTCGTCGACTTAGGCTGGAAGTTCTCTTGTCTTCGACTTGGGCTGGAAGGATCTCTTGCCGCAACTCAGCCGCAAATCTCTGTCGTCCGAGGTGATCTCTTCTCGCTGCCGTCCGGGGCTGAACTCTTCTGTCTTCGACTTGGGCTGGAAGTTCTCTTGTCTTCGACTTGGGTGGAAGGATTTCTTGTCTGAGGATTCTCTTGCCCGCAAAGGGGCGAGTGAATCGGGCCTGATGCCCGCGTTCAGGCTCTATCCCTGCCCGCGGTCCAGCTGCAACTCTCAACTCCAACTCCAACTGATTTCTGTCGACTGGGGTCCTGCTTTTATTGACGCCGCAACAAACTGGGGTGGGTCTGTCGGCGTCAGGGGTTTTCTCGATAATTCCAATAGCCGCATTAATTCTGTTTCCCCATTATCGCTATTGTTTTCACCCCTACTTCCTCATAGTGCTTTTGGTGGGGAGGCGCATATCCATCTCTCTCGGTCTCTCGTATGTCAGGTGACCGTTTTTCGACTAATGAGATTCTGATCGAGCATTTCTTTCTTTTCTTTTCCGCAGCCACGTGACCGTTTTCGGCTAATGGGATTCTGGTTGAGCATTTCTTTTCTTTTCTTTTCTGCAGCCACGTGACCGTTTTCGGCTAATGAGATCCTGATTGGGCGTTTCCTGCAATCAATTTGGGGCGGGCTTATATCGTTCTTGTTCTAAAAAAACAAAATCTAATTTTTCCTTTTTTTTCGCACGTACGAAAAATGACCATCTTGGCCTTCTCTCACCTGGACTTTGTCAAACAGCCCGCCGCTAATTAGACTTGACTTCAGAAAGGATCTTTTCCGCCTTCTTGGCGCCCTCTGTGAGCCAAAAGCAATTGTCCCTCTTTTTACCTCTTTGTTTTTCCTGATAGTCAAAAATCTTAATTATCTACATTGAAAATGTCTCCACTTTATTATTGTGGGGGTTCTAATTTTTAACAGGTCAGAGCCTGTATACCGTTCCACCGGTCACCCCTCAACCCAAAAGACACTTTTCTCTGATTAAGATTGTTTCATTGTTCCCTAAAATTTCTCTTTATCCAAATTGATAAGGTGTCTTTCCATGCAAAAGTAGGCTAGGTGCTTTGACCGATATCTGGCTTCCATCAAGCGGCCCGTTTTGATATCATGTCTTTTTCCCTTTCTTTCTTCTTATTATTTCTAATTCTATTCTTCCAATTGTCTTTTAAAAAAATTCGGTCAACATGCTAGCTAAGATATCTTTCTGACTCGTGTTTTTGTTAATGACCGTTTTTTTGTATTTCTCGACTCTCTCTTTCCCCTTCCTTCTTCTTCCCTTAGGATCGTCCAAGTACAATCTTAGTGAATTATTTTCAACTCAATTATTTTCCGTTTTAAAAAAAATCAACAACCTGTTTAGTAAACCGAATAAGAAAAAATTAAATCATATTTCTATGAATATTTCTAATAATGCAAGGTGCCACAGAACCAAATAGTAAATGAATTCCCTAATATTGCGTTAAAGCAGATGCCAGTATTATTGGAACCTGTAGATGTTGGGAAAAGGAGGTACGGCTTGTGAGGATAGTAAGAAAATTATAATAAATTGGTCAGCGGGGATAGTTACTTTGATACTTGTTACTGTAATAGTAGCAGCAATATGGAAATGTAATAGATATAGAAGGAGGTCGGTTGATGGTACTCTGGTAAGTGTGCAACAGCTTGGAAGGGAGTTGGCTGGCAGTGTTCATTGTCCAACCAAACCAACCCGAGATGAAGAAGTTACGTTGACTCCGACGAACAAAGCAGAGGTACAGTCAACGGCTGTCGAAAACAAACCAACACACCCTGTTCTACAGAAAAGAATAATGACCAAGAAAACAAGCCATAAAAAAAAATAAAAATAAATAAACACACACACACACACACACACATACTCATCTTTTTTTGAATTGCAGGTACACACAGAAGAAAAAGAGAACTTTTCAAGTTGTATGTGGAAATTTTATAGTGCATGGAAACGGTGCATGAGAAATAGGGCATGGATAGTAGCGCATGTTAAATAGTTTAATGGAGTTTGAAATGTCATTTACGGATAAATGACAGGTTGGATGAAGGGAGAGATGTGACAATATTTAACATGGTGTACGGACGAAAAGAGTTAAACGGACGAAAAGGGTTAAAACAAAACGATTTTAATTTTTTGTCAGAAAGAGAATTACTTGTTTTGGTCTGGTCAGAGTAAAGTCGCACGAAAGAAGAAAAAATAAATTTGGTAAAAGTAAAAAAGTATTTATATATAATTCCTTGATACAAAATTGATGGTACACTTATTTATGGTTTAAGCATGACTATATTCTCCATGCAATAACTATTCCCTAACCCTTCCCGATTATTGTGACACACTGCGATTATGGTTTTGAACGAAACTTCTGGAACAAGGCTTTTTCTTCAGGCCAGCAAATCACATGAGATCGGGCGAAGCAGTGGTTCTTGTCCCATTTGGTCTTGTCTCTGCAGTCTCTCTGCAGTGTCGCTGCCGTAGTGTGTCAGCGTTCTGTTTTTATGGACACCTACGCAAGGACTGTGGTGGGACATGACGTGCTCTGGGAATGCTCACATTCCCCAAGCAACCAATCAGGTCTTTCCTTGCAAATGTCTAAATATGGGGGAGTCCCTCATCTCTCCTTGGAATTCTACCTGGACCTTCTCCTTCTTTTGGTCAACTGATCAAACCGGTCTCCTTCCTTGCTTTGTGTGAGTGCTTCTCACCATCACTGCCCAAGGGACGTGGAAAATCCTCCGCCTTCCCTGAAATTTTACCTGGGCCCTCCCCTCCTTGGTCACTGTCCCCCAAATTTTAATTATCGTTCAAAATTCTTTATCGTGCTTTTGTGTGTGGTCATTTTCGCATCTGGAATTTATCATTTTTTTTATTCCCTTGTCAACCCTCTGGCCAACAAGTGATAAAAAGGAAACAATCCCTTGATTTTGGTAAGTTTTATCGCGTTTCAGTAGACGAAAAAATTAATTATCATTCTCTTATCTATTGGTAACCTGTTTGCTTTTAAAAGTTAATCCTTATCCTTATCCATCACTCAATGGTTGTAAAAATATTATCTATTTTTTTCCGGGTGGTCCTTGGACCTCCAGAATAGCTCATCACTTAATCCCAGTTCTAATCAAAACTTTAATTACAAAAATTTAATTACCTTCTAGTTTAAAAAAAAAAATCCTTTTCTTTCTTTTCCCTCGTCTGGTCACTGGTATACCTTCAGTCTATCGGAAATCAATATTTTTCCATCTTCTAGCTTTTTTTTTCTCAATTAAAAACTATTGTCCTTTTCTAACAACTATAAATATATCATGTATATTTGATGAAGACAACTGTTGAAACTTAATCTTTGTTATTCCTTTCCTTTGCAATCAAACACTTGTTATAACAATTTCAAGCAGAAAACATTAGATTTACTATACATGACAATCTTTTAGGCTGTTTTTCCCTGAAAATTAATTGTAAAAACCCCTTAAGTCTCAGATAGTTGAGTTGTCGTAATTAATTGAATTATTTTTAAGTGTTCATTTATTATATAATTTTATAAATTTCCAAAATATTTTCCTGATTGACAATAATATATATTTTCTATGAGTCCTGTGACATTTTTTTTCTTTTATTTTTAAATTTATAGCTTTTATTTAAAGCTGTACATAACAAAAGTAACTATTATTTTCATTTGAAAATAATTATGTAAATTTTTCAATTTGTGTAGAATTTTAAAATTTCTTATCAGCAAAAATTCATAGGAATTTTCAGATGTAATTGGAACTTTTGACTAAAATTAATGCCCTCGTTAAAGAAATGTTTCTTTCATGACTAATATTTAATTTAGAACATTCTAGAATTAGCAAATTTGTCATAATCAAAAATTATTGATGTTATTTTTATTGGAGCTCCAAAATAGTCTCAAAATATGTTTTTAAGTAGTACCTTTTCCTTGTTTTTATTTGTCAAATTTGAATTTCAAAATAGAGTTGAAAATTTTTTGATGTAATATTACAATCTATTGATGGAGTGGAAAAAGAAGCACACTCCTATTTTTCAGGAGCAGCTCGTTTTTATGAAAGGAGCTGCTCCTTTCACAAGGGGAGCTCATTCAATTTTGGGGTGTATGAGCAGTAGCGGGAGCCTCTCTAGGATTTGAGGAGCATGTAAAGCCCTGTTTAATAGTAGCAAATTACTCAAGCTGTTTCTAAGTTTTCACTGCCACCTTACAGCTCTTATATCCATTTTTTGAAGAAATGTAAGTTTTTACTAGAAAGTAGTTAGAAGTCAATCACCAAATGTTATCATACTGCTGGTGTAGATGATTGTGAGTTTAAGATCCCAATCACACATATATGTTACATCCATGATGAAAGAAGCCCTACTTATGTGGGTCTTATTAATTCAAAGCACATCAATGTAAATCAATCTCCACATTTTTCATGCATTTTATGAACTTCCTTTTTGCTTTACTCTTGATACTGACACTGAAACCAACCTGACTCAAGCATCTAAAGCTATCAAGGTCAAAGTTGACAAGGGAATACTGGTAGCCTTGATGGTCAGATTCACATGTCTTTTATTGGAGAAATTTACTTGGTATTGTCTCTAAATGTCATTAATCTAAAATTAGATTCTTTGGTAGTAAATAATTTGAATGTTGAGATACTGGCTGGTATGTCGTTTATGTTTGCCAATGATATTTCTGTTCAACCAGCTAAATATCAGACTATAATTGGAGACCTTCCTCTTGTTCAATTCTATGAAAAACTAAATATTATACAATACATTGTATGCCAGTATGTTTTGCACAGCAATAACAATTTGGTGAAAAGAGTTCTTTGTGTTTGTTAGATGTACCTCCACTCATTAGTGATGATGCAATAATGGTCATTGCATTCACATTTCAATTATATTATTATTTGCAGGGCAAATGCAAGGATCTCATTCCCTACCCCCGAAGCTATAAAACAGGGCCTACCCACTTTATTACATCTCAATTTCCATAAGGTAGTATTCATATAAAATACAAATTTTATTGTAACCTAATTATTTACAATAATGAATCATGTGCAATATGTAACACTATTTGGGTTGCTGGTAATTAATAATAATAATAACAACTTGGAATATCAACGTTTTCAGCAACTTTGAGATATTGATGAATAAACAGGCATGAAAAGGGTTAAAAGAATATAAAAAATGATAGACTGATAATAAGTGATTCCCAGAGAATGAACCAGGTGAATGCTTGGTTTGTACAAACAGGTCAAGTGTTGACAATCTTCGGCAAACAATGCCAACATGAGGAGAATTAGGTTAAATACCAATTCCAAATGAAGTCATTTTACAGAGATGTCAGGATGGGAAACCATAAATTAAACATCTGCAGAATGCCGACCTTCAGCTGAATGAATTGTCACCATAATGTGAGTTGCAAAATTTTCCCTGGGAAAGTGTCTCTTGAGAAAGCCAATTGTTGTGTCAATTTACTTATGATATGATAGCATTTGGAACCATAAATTTTTTCTTAATTAGTCTTCGACCGAATGCTGGAGGTGACAGGTGCTGAAGAGCGATCAAGGAAGGAGGAGAGGCTACCTGCACCCACTGAAGGGTAGCAGGTACAGACGGGACATTAAAGAGATTGAAGGAGCAGCCCATGCTAACTGGAGAGCACTGGTGAGAGATGGTAATAAGAGAAAGTAGATTCAACCAGGCAGAGTGATGCAAGCACCCATTTCCCACGAGAGAGAAGGAGAATTGGGAAAATTATGAAGTAATTTAATTTCTCAGGACCAAAAACAATGGACTTGTTGGAAATCAACAATTTGAAAACCCAACATTTTTTTACATATACTTGTGCGGTATTACCCTTTTGGGATTCGGCTTGCATTCGGCCCCTGACTGATTTCGTCTACCTAAGATCAAATCACAATGTGGGTGGGTTAGACTGAAATCAAAGCAAGTTACTTCAGTAACCAGACGTTGGAGGCGAGCTGGGAATGATAAAGCTGATACCGAAACTAACCAGATTCCCCATCCGAATCAGCAAAGGGTTAGAACGTCACATTTGGTGCCGCGACCAATACCAAGTCACACTGGTCGTCACAGGACAGGATAGCAACATGCGCGGAGGGCCCGGGGTGATGTTACAGTATCTTGCAAGGAAACGTGGAGTGGGTGACAAAGACAAATGAAGATGTCAATTGCTTTTGTTAAATTTCATCATCTGCTTTCATACTGTACCTTAGCTACCAAATTGATTTTCATAGAGCCAGGGAAAGGGTTTTGATGACTTCATCATCTAGTCTCTGCTGAATTGTTGACTCAAATAGATTGATTGTTCTGTTTTAATGACATATCAACTGTCCGTTATTTAATGCCAAGATTTTTTTTTTAATTAAATCATTGTTTATATGGCTTGTGAACAATCCCTTGAGTTGTTAGTTTCATCACTCTCTAGTTATGCATTTAAAACAGAGTTATTTATTGCTATAATTTGTGGTATAGAACAACCTCCTTCAAATAGTGTTTATTTTTATCTTCATGAAAAGATTCTTTAGTCATATCATAAAATCATTAATGTATATGAGTAAGGTCACTACAATAGGTTAGAATGTTTTACTGTACTAATGCCTCCTGACATGGTGTGCATTTAGGAGGATGTTCCTTTTTAATAGAAATGAGCAAGTGTTATAGGTCTATCCTATTCTAATTCTTGATAGGACAACTTCTTCCTTCTGAGAAAGTCTGAGGATATGGCATTCTTCTAGAATGGTTTTAATTTTGCAAAGTTTGTTTGGATGGTAGTTCCATAAATCTTGGCACTTATTTAGAATGTATGAGTTTACAGTTTCTTTAAGGTCTGTATAGGGAGTTTTCAAATTTGAAATTTTTAAGGATTCTTTTGCTTTTTCCTTCTGTAGATGCTGATCTGAGTAAGTGTTCAACAGAAAAGAATTTTTTTTTGCAAAAAAATCCTGTTTAGTAATTTAATTGTTTGTGTTTTCCTTTCTCAATGATATAAATATGGAATCAGAATCACAAATCTGAAAAAAACAAAACAAAAAAAAAACAAAACAAAAACAAACTATTTAGTTGTTTGGCTCATATTCTGTTATGATGTCTGAAGCTAAGTCTATGGCTACAGCTTCAGCACTAAAAATAGTGTTTTTGTCAAATAGAAATTTTTTATTTTATTTTTATATCATTGAGGATGACTGAAATTTGACTTTATCAATGTTTTTTGAGCCATTAGTATATATGTACTTATAGTTTGGGTGTGCCTGTGAAATATCAAAAATATCTAAAATGGTAGACTGGTATTAGTTTTATGGTATTTGGCAAGGTTTAGTGAAACTGTTGGCTGTTTTGTTAGCCAAGGTGGATTTTCCATAGTAGTAGATTCAATAGTTCAGGTAGTGTATTTGTGATTTATAAATTAATGTTTTCCATTAAAGGTTTGATGGCAGCTTCCTTTTTTTGTGGTGGTGGGGGCGGATAGATCTTTATATTGTTGGTTGGAAACAAAGTTGAATGCTGGGTTATATGAACAGGAATGTAGTTTGGCATTATATCGTAAGGTTACTTTCTGCCGTCTTAGTATCAGAAGCATTTCGGTGGACAGGCTTTCTACTGGAGATGTTTTAAAAGCTCCTAGGATTAGTTATGGTCCCTGATGATG